TGAAATGAAATCCACATCCAGGTATATCTTCACACTTGCCAGTTTAGCTATTTCTTGGTGCTTGAGGAAACAGGACATGGTTGCACTCTCGACTATGGAGTCAGAGTATGTGGCTTGTCTCGCTGCAAAAGAAGATGTCTGGTTGAAGTTCTTGAATCAGCTCAGATTCGAACATGTAAAATGCCCATGTGTAAGGATCTTCTGCGACAATAAGGCAGCGATTTGTGTGGCTAGAGTGCATGTAAACAAAATTATTTATAGTGTTTTGTGCACTTCAGTAGGAGTGTATTGTGGTTGACTGAATTAACGTTTCGCGGTCCATGGCCCGGTTCATGTCAAAAGCCCTTTCTCGTGGGCATAAGTCATTACTATTGAGGGTATATAGAGTGTCATCCCTTGTTGCGGTTGGAGAGATGCCGAAGGACATTGTTTGTAGGCTAGGACAGTGTGGTCTCCTGTATCCAGAGGTAGGTCTGTGAGAGTGGGGCCAAATCCTAAACAAACTTCCACGCAGGACATACATATAATGCCCGCATTTCGGGAAGCAACTCTATACAAAGGGCTAGTTGTACATGTTCATAGAGAAGCCCCCAACACTATAATGATATGTGTGTCTGACTTTCTTTAGGGGGGGAACTCTATTCCACATACTAGGACTATGATTCCACAATTTATTGGTCCTTTTTTTTTAGCCAATCAGAAGCCTTTGCACTTGACTGCGGGTCATTGGTCTCATTGGGTTGGCTTGAAAAGGCAGTAGAGCATCATGGATCTTGGCAGGGGTGGAGTGCCTTGACATTCACTTGTTTTTGACCTATTAGGTACCAATCCACTTCTATTATGTATTTCTGAGTGTTTTAATTCTTTTAAGGACTTCAGAAATATCAATTTTAACTAAAATTGTGTTTCTGCGATTTTTGGATATTTTTTGAATTTGAAATTGTTTCTAAATGCATAAAAACCCCTAAAGTATTTTTGGAATTTTATTTATACAGGGGTAGTTTAGAAAATTCATTTTATTAGGTGGGACCCACATGGGAGGGGTAAAGAACCCAGCCTCCCACATGTGTGGGCCCCACATAGGCCACATCCCATATAAGGATGTTGTTAATTTATTTTGAAAATATTATGTTTATTGAGAAAATATCTTATGAAAATATTTTGGTGATATTTTGGTACAAATTTTAATTATTTTAATTCCTAATTATTCCTTTATGAGAGAAAAGGAATTCAAGATTATTCTAGATCATTCTAGATTGTCAAGAAGATAAGTTTGATTGGTCACATGTCTAGTTAAAGATACTAGTGGATTATGGGTCAAATCTCAAGGTAAAGTTTTTGAACATTCACTCTAGATTATGATGGCTGATCTTAGAGATGAATGAATGAGAGTGATCTTCTCTCTCACTTCATAGTTTACTTAATTTTAGATTATGGTGAATCCTAATATGACTGGGAGCCCAATATAGGAGGGGTATTCTCCCCCTTCAAAAATAGACACCTATCTCTCTCTCTTTCTCTCTCTCTCTCCACACCCCTCTCTAGCCTTCTTCTCTCTCTTCTCTCTCTCCTCTACCTAGGTGGCACACCGTCCGTAATAAGTGTTAGGGTGGCATGCACCTGTTGGGGTTATGTGGCCATTTAAAGGTCTTATGAGAGCATGTACTAAAATTATTTAAAATGAAATGTTGGCTTCAGTAGGAGCGTTGTCCACATTGAACTGTGAGGCATTATTAATGTCAGGACTCACCTGAGATTTGATTGGCCATGGCTCAATGTGATGTCTAAAACCCGTGACCCTGAGCATTTGTGCACAATCGATAAGGGTTTCGATGTCGAGTTATCCCTTGATGAGGTCGGAGTTGTGCCGAAGGCGGTTGGCCAAGGACTAGATGTGATCCTTGTATGTGATGGTTGGCCAGAGAGGACAAGGGTCAAAATCCTCATCATTACCTTCACACGACATGTATAGTATATAGTCGTCTGGGAAGCAGCCTTTTGGATGAGGGTGTGTGGTGTACATATGTCCAAGAATTGACTCCCTACAACACTGGACTGTGTTGAAAGAATCTATATGTATCATGCTAGAATGGGGCTTGGACTTTTCGTCAGGGAGGGGCCCGTAATCCATAGACTAGGTTTGTGTCTCACTCATTTATTGGCTGACTTTGATTGTCCAAACATGAACTCTTGCGAAAGGGTGTGGGTCATAGGAACTATTGGGTTAGTTTGAGAAGGTGTAGCGAGATGTAGATTTCTAGAAAGGATGGAGTCGTTATATTCCTAATTTTTTGGATCCAATTCCCATCAAATTTTCTTACGTATGTTCAATTATATTTTAATTATATTTTAGATAATTAAAATGAATTTTTAGACCTCTTTAGATATTTTATTTTATTAAAAGAATTTAAATAAGGAAAAATCAATTTTATGGATTTATTTAATTCAGAGAGGAAAATAAAATATTTAATGGATTTATAAAATTTTCCTATTACCATTCAAAAATATTTTTTAGGGTGTGGGGACCCATTGGGACTTTGCACTTATCACATGTAATCCCACTAGTGGGGGTGTGGGGCCCACCTGGCTCTCCATGTGTAGGGCACCCCACTCCCTCTTCTTTCCAATTTTGTGTGGCTTGTGTATTCAGCCACCTTCGTGATTGAAAAATAAGGAAAGTGTCATGAAGAGGATTTGATTGATTTCAAATAAGCATGTGTAGAGATTGATTGAAATTTTATTTGTAAAACTGTAGTATTTTCTTTATACATTATTTGAGGGGAATAGAGTTGCGGTAACGAGAGATAATAATTCCACCTCATTTCTTTTACTCATGATGGCTGATCTAAGGAATGAATGGTTGAGATCTCCACCCCACAAGTCTCCATGTTCAAAGGTCAAGATTGAGTCTCATAATGATATCAAAACTCTAGATCCAAAAACCCTAGCCTCTATTTTATATATACTTTCTATGGGGGCCTATTCTTTACATCCCTTGACTTAGCCTCTCTCTTTAAACTCTAAGGGCAAGTATGCCCTGCTCTCTCTCTCTAAACTCTAAGGGCATGTATGCTCTGTTCTCTCTCTCTCTCTCTCATTAGTTAGGGTTTAAGTTTGTAGAACCTAGAAACCTTGAGAGGGGATACGCCCAGGCCACAAGGGTGGGACGCCCCCAAACCTAAGTGCTCCTCCGTTTGCTTATGTGCAGCCCTATCCCATGTCATACTCTCAAGAGGTTTTTCATAGGCTTCCCTAGTTATGAGAGGCTCGATAGAGATCCTGTGCGTCATTGGTAGAGGAGATCCGATGCGGGGTATACGAAGTCCTTGGAGGTAATCTGAGGCAAGGTATGCGGTATTGTCTTATTTCTTGCTTTCTTGAATTTATTCAAAGTGTTGTGTAATTATTAGATTTATGTTTTGAATGTATTTGTTTTGATGGCAAGCGAGAGGCCTTGGCATTCTTTGTGGTTTTATTGATTTATATATTGTATTTGGATACTTGCAAGTGATCTGGATGGTAAAATAAAGAAAAAATAAAAATTTTAGTCGGTAGTTACTTACCTAGGTCACATAGTCCTACTTTCAGCACCAACTGAGAGAGGTAGAGGACACGCCCACCCCTAATCTTGGTTCTAAGGGAGGTGCCCTCTTGGCATGGCCCAAGTGAAAAATGATTCTTTCTGGAACCCTAGTTGTACCTTTGCTCTTAGCGCCATAAATTTCAAATAAGGGTGTCTGAAATGTGCTTCCCATGTTTAGATTAGAGGATTCAGCAGGATCTAGAATTTCAAGTGTGCTATCTTCAGGTGATCAAATGTGGGGTATGCTAAGCCATAAGGGGGTAACCTTAAGGGAAAGTCAGTAAGTCTTCCCTCTGTTATTTAATCTTATTTTGTGCTGTTCCTGTCTTATTTTACTTCCTAAAGTTGTTAGTTTGTAATTCAATTTCAATAAGTTTTATTTGGCAATAAATTTTAAAGATCCTAGATTAGTATGTTTAATTTCTGCATTATTTTCTGGCCCTTGTAAGTTAACTTTCCAGCAATTAATAAAGAAAACAAAGAAAATTTTGAATTTGTCATCTGGAGTTCTACATTGCCACACCCTTCATTAATATGTAGAAAATATAACAACATATATGTCAATTCTCTATGTATTTACTTTTGGAAGTTCTTGATTATTTTATCCCAACCTAATTTACTGAAAGGGGATGTCCAACTAATATCGTTGTTGAGGTTGCCCCTGGCATCATGTTTATCCATTTATGTTGATTCATTTTCTTAAAACTCAGTCTCAAAGAATATCCACATCTATGGGAAACTTCATTTTGTGCTAATTATTGAGAATAAGGGACCATATAGATCCTTTAAGTTATTTTTTTTTTTAATTGGAATGTTAGTTCTTCTTCCCAATTTGGTTCTCTCTCAGTCTAATTGTTTCTAGCTCTTCTGCTTACTGGTTTCCATTTTTGTTCAAACCCAATTCCTGAATTGTATTCTATCGCCGCAATCATTCCAGCTACAACTTACAAATTAGAACTCAAAACAGCATGGTTCATCCATCCACTCTGACAAACTATTGAAATCTATAGTGAAAACATTGAGATAACTCGTGTATTCTTGACCATCCAATTTGACCTTGTATGCGGTTTATTGCAGACCAAAGAGCTTAGTTTCAGCATTATTTCTCCTTTTCCTAGTTAATAAGCAATCGCATATTTTGAATTAATCTCTAGAGTCTTATTTTTTATTCAAGGATAGAGAACATTGAAAACCTGAAGAAAATTCAACCCACTAGTCATCACTAGGTCGATCCAATCATCAGTTTCTAGGGGGCCAACAAACACATTTCGTATTCTAACTTCTTACTCTTGGACTTATGCTCACTGACATCAGATTGAACTAAGAGCTCAGCAATGATATACTCTTAATTCTTGACAATTCACTTCTACTCAACTGGCATAAATGAATTATTGACGTACTTTCTTGTTGGCAACAGTTAGTGATGCGACTAATCAATTGGACATTCATTCAAACCCAATCAGTATCGATGCAAGTCAATTTCATGGCTCTCTACATCAAGGAAAAGATCAGACAGACTCAAATTGTTGGACTGAACCTGGTGGTGAAGGATTTATGATAAGGGGGAAAACATACTTAACAGATTTCTCCAAGGTAATCTATTATTATGCCTCTGATTCCCAATGGACATCCAAAACCTCCTATTTATTGAGATTTGTGCAGTGCTGTCCTTTTCTCTTTTGCTTATATTATGTTGTTTGTATTTTCCTCTGTGTTCTTGTCTAAATTATTTTAAATTTCTTTTGGCATTCAAGTTGAATTTTTGTATCATTGGTTGAATGTATTGAAGGTGACATCTTGATACATACATACATATATATGAGTACATAGGGCTCACATGAGTCAAACTCTAGCTTCAATGTGTTGCTCACGCTTACATTCTATATCTCATAGCTGGAACTCTCAAGCTTAGTTTCATGCTAGGATTTTTTAAGCTTAGTACTTTTTAAGATTACATCACTTTGGACCCTGTCTGGATGCACCAATAAGCCACTGAACGATGCAGAGGAAGACACTTTTTTTCTTTAATTGGCAGCATCATCAGTACGTCTGTTCTTCACTCACAGAGATTGACAGAACACTATATTTATTGATGGCGAGAAAGTTGGAACCAAGCAGCCTGTGCATATAACATGCGTCCAGACCGTAATCTAATCTTCCAGTAGACTTTCATTTGGCGGGATGCTGAGTGCAGGATAAAGGATTTGAGCACCATTTTCCATATCTGGTCAACTTAGTTCTTCCAGATTTTTGTTAGTGATTGCATGGAGAGGATAAGTGACATGGTGATTCATTGCCCTTGCTTTAGAAGGAACCGGCTTGATCCAGAGATTGTGTTAGATTTGTTGTTTGAATCAAGAAATTCTTTCCCATTTAGAGGTCCTAACAATAGATTGTGGAATGGGAACATGTTTTTTCGTTAAATTGTTCCTAAGAACTATCTAGGACGGGGGAGTGGGATTTCTCTTCGGCTTCTTTGATGGTGTGTCCAGTCCATAACTTATGCCACGTCGTGATGATTAGCCATCTCTGATTAGATTCACTCCACAGATCTTCTTCAAAGTTGAGGTTGGTCTTAAGACTACATAAGTGAGAATTTCCAAAGATGAGGTTGGCTCACAAACCAGAGTCTTAAGACTATATATATGATCTTTAACATTTCTTGGAAAGACTGTATGCATCCTATAAGCTGTTGAGAATCATTTTTAGTGCCGTTTGCATGTGCCGAGGTCACATCTGCCCAAGTGTGTCTTGCACACTTTACGAGATCAAGTCTATTTGAGATTCATGGTCGAAATCTTCTCGCTATGGGAAGCATATCTCATGTTACATCAGTTGTGAGGTTCACGATAAGGAGCTAACAACTGTTGAAATCCCAGAAAACCAAGGTGTCACACTAGTTCTTGTGTGCACCAGTCAATCCCTTTGACTCATTTTACATTGGCACTCGGTCTTGCACTAATACTCACTTGTGGAATATGCATCCTGAAGTATGTGTTGAGAAATATCAAAGTTAACATATATTACAAATTCACGATAGTATTAGGAGACCCCGAAAGAGTATTGCAGATTGATCTAATGATTTAAATGACTCAAAGCTGATTTGATAGACCAGGATATATCCTTTGCAGGGCACAATTTATCCTAATAGTTTAATCTATTAAACGATGCTTTCCATTTCTTGATCACCAACAACATTCGATATATAATCCCTTCCATTCTTCAATGACATCCTCTTTCCTTGTGATTTGTAAAATTTGATAAGATGGAATAAAAGGTCAAAGGCATCTCAGTTAAGTGGTTAACTACCTCGTCGTGTTACAGCTAAGTTCCCAAAGATCATTTTCCATATGTTGTGACTTCATTGAATTATATTTGTGGAATAAGAAATTTTGTAAGAGATGAACTATTATCAAATCAGACTAGAGCTAGAAATAAGATGGATATAACTGCAGAACAGAGTAGTCTATTGCAGATGTAGTAGATATGTTTGGATGTGGCCTTTATAGAGCAGGCATCTGGATTTATTTGTTAGTTCACTCCAGCTGTATTTCTGACATAAAACTTGAAATTCTTCTTTTCCATCTCGGTTTTTACCCTAAGCGTAATATGAGGGATTTGTAGTTGATTTGAGGAAAACACTTTTTTCATTAGAGTTAGCATGTTAATAGGATGCATTTGATAGCTTTTACTATGCAGATACTGTTTGTATTAAGTGTTAATTTTCCTGTCTGTCTTTCGTTTGAATACCTTTCCCTAAGGAAGTCTTGAACATACTCTATTTACAGGCTTAGTCATAATCACCTTTTTCTTAACATGCCAGGTTCCAGGAGGAGATCCTGTTTTGAAGCTCTTAGCAGTTGATTGGTTCATGGCTGATAGTAATGTTGAGAAGGTAGCTCTACATCCCAAATGCCTTGTTCAGGTAAATAAACTAATTTTTTCAACTGTGCAATGTCATACTTATTTGAGAAATTCAACTGTTTGTTACTGAATGCTTATAGTGTGGCCGACACATGGTACTCTTAAGGTATCTCATGCAAACTCTCAGGAGTTAACAACGGATGCATAATTATTCATGTGTATGCAGTAATACTTGCAAATACCAGCATGCATGTCATACATAATTACATGCTGGCATATATGAACACCCACATAATTACACATATTTAAGATATTTGTTTCGCCTCTATATTAATTTCGGTGAGCTACTAGAGAAAGACAATACTTTTAGTTCCATGGATTAGAAACAACCAGGTTCTTCATGCATGCAATTGGTAGAATTCTTGATTTAAGATTGTTGTGAATGATCATATTTGGCAATCTCTCTGGTTCTTTCATTTTCTAGTGTTACTATTTACCAACCCCTATATTTTGCCACTGCTTTCCTTTCCTGATTACCAATAATCTACTCTCAATCTTTTCTTTTATTTTTTTGTCTGCCCATTGAGATGCATTATGCAAAACATCACCGGTAAACAAATGAGTGAAAACCACATGGCTCTCTCTTATGAATCTGCTAGGCTGTTGAGTGGTGTAATTTGAGAATGGCTTCACCTATTGTTGCTTACCTCCGTTTGTTAACTCTTTTTAAGTTCCTATGTGAAGATCCTTCATCTTTGAGGAAAGGATAGACCTAGAAGTTTAGAACCAAGATGCTAACATAGGTTACAAGGAAGTTGCAGAACACCATGATAGTCTCCTAAATGAGGGCTCCATGGAGAGAGACAGATCACTAGCTAAATCTATTGGTTTACTACTACAAAAGGTTTGATATATTTGCCTAACATCAAATAATAAGCTTTAGGACATTTGCATGTTGGCCCTTGTTAAAAATTAAACTACTTGTGGAGTGGTTATGAATGCTTCTGCAGTTTAGGGTATCTCTTTTCCTTTTCCTAAACTTTAAGACATTAGATTTCAAGGTTTCATTAAATTACTTATAAAGGGGCATTATTGTAATTTGATCAACATCTACTATAAATAAACAATTAAGAGGTGCTTGGAGGACAATTCAACCTAAGGGAACTTGATCTTC